CTATTCTATTTGACTTTATTTCTTCATCTTCATATTTATCTTTATTTCAAAGCTTAGTTTCAAATGTGTAGTGAAACAATAGGCGAAACATGTCAAATTGAACATGTTGCAGCAACATCTATACACAATTCGAAAATGTTTAAACGACGGTTTTGGCCGTAATTTTCAACCAATTGTGAAACCATAAAAACTCTGCTCATCTACGGAAAAATGCCTTTCCAACGGTGTTCTTGATTTTGAAATCGGTTCTGTAGAATCGCCAAACGAACGGAGACAAAATTTATGTTAGCGTATTAATATATAGATTAGCTTTGAGTGAAAAAATAAAAATCATAAATAATCGTTATTTTTGTTCGAAAATAACATAATAATCATAATTTTGATCGAAAAAATCTTCGATAAAGCAGCAACTACTGAAGCGAGTATACTAAACAAATTGTTTTTTGGAATAATTGTTTAGCAAAAAATATGATTATAATGAATGATATATGAATGTGCAGTATCGGTCATATCTATAGCACGCCATTTCAAAATGATATTGTGTGCCACTTATGTTTATTTATTTATTTTTAAGAAATTTCAATTAAAATATAGTTCACTCCCAGACAAACCCCATATAAACCCAAGTTGAAAAATTTGTAGAAAACTACAAAAAAGTGCAACAAATTTTCACCTAAATTTCAAACTCTTTTCTCGGAAGCGTTAGAATTTTTTTGAGTACACAGTTTTTTAGCCCCTTCAATTTTAGTCCAATAATGTGCAAGTTTCAAGTGGTTAAAAGTTACCGTAGATTTGTACATACATAAGTATGTATGTTCATAGTCTGTATAAGTTTATTAATGTGACAATTTTTGGCAAACACTATTCATTATTATTAATATGCAGCGCCAAATAGAATTTTTTATAACAATTTGCTATTCACTTTGAGTACATAAGCAACACCTTGACATTTTCCATCATTAAGTAGTCATTTGCTGCAAGTTGATGTTCTGCTAAATTTACCATAGCAAACTTATAGGCGATTTATGTACGCATAACCTTTTTTTATATAGCAGACGCTTTAATCCAACTATTAAATTTAATATTATTTCTACCAAGCTGTTCCACCCAACTGTTAACCAACATAAAATCGCTAAGTAAGTAAAACCGGTTGTGAAATTACGCTACTTGAATATCTTTGAAATTTTTCTCCGCCTTTGTGCATCCACTCATAAACTATAATAATGTGCTAACTCCTTTCTAAATAAGTTTTCATCTTCATCTTTGCTCCTTCTTCACTTCATTTACTTCTGTGGCATGCTAGCGCTTGCATTTATATCTTCTTTTTTTCCTACTTTTTTTTCCTTTTATTTCATTGCTCGCTCGCAAATCATAGCACATTTGCTTAATAGCTCACGGCTGCTTAGCGCACTTACTAACTCGCATTTTTATTTTATTACCACCCACCCTAAGCCAAATGGCAGGCACTTTCTTCTTTATCGCCTTGCTTGCCATTACTATTCAGTTGAACTAAATCCTAGTTTGGAGTATTTGCTTTGCTCTACTCTGCTCAGTTCTATGCTACGAGTCGCAATAATCCGCTGCTGCTGCTGCTGCTGCTGGAATGCCGCGTCTTAAGTACCAATAAAAGTCAATCTTAACACTTTTCCGATAACCACTTAACCATTTCGCATATTTCACAAACATTCAATCGAGTGTATAAATCAGCTAATAAAGGCGGTGAATAGGAAGTTCGAGTGTGAAAGTTGGACAGTCAGAGAGTGTATCCAATTTAAGATTACCTATTTTATGTACTCGTACGCACATAAATATGTGTGTTTATAGTTTAACCCTTGTGGGGAGGTGTGCATATATGTATATATGTATGTGGGTACATTTGTATGAATGCAGATACTGCCATAAAGTGTTGTAGGGTATTTTATTACATGAAAATATGGTTCATTGTAGTGGTAATCATAAAAGCCTTGGTTTTTTAATAAGGACTACCACAACAGTCTACGTACATATATACATATATACATATGTATACATTTAGCTCTGCGAGTGTAATAGTAATTCACTTAATTCAAACGAAAATGTTTGGGTCTAAATCGATAACTTATAACACTTTTTTGTTGAAGTTAAGAATTTTGTAACTGCTCTTCAATCAATTCGTGGGTAAATTTCGAAAGTTTCACCGACAACATCTGCAAATGAAAAGGGCTGTGCGTCTTTTGTTAAATTTAGATTTTTTTTAGAAAACCTTTACATCTAAAGCAATTAAAATACGTATAAAATGCACGTACAAATTTTTTCAAATATTTAAAGTAATATAATATTTTCTGCATGCGACCAATTCTTTTAAATGCTAATTTTTTATTTATTTCATTTTTTTTTTTTAATTAAATCTATACAAAATTTCATTTTCTCTGATTTTTAATATAAAAGATTTTTAATTTTTATGCCTTTTGGTAATACATACTCCTCTAACATTTGAAAAATTTTATTTTTTTTAACAACTTTTTTATACTAAATTCTTTTTAATTTAATAAAAACTATTAAAAATATGAAAAACATTTTAATAAAAACCAAAAAATTAGTAAAAAAAAATATTTACAATAAAAATTGGAATAATAAAGACTTTTTCATGTAATGAAAAGTTAGATTCTTCCTCATTTTTAAATAAAACAAGTTTTTGTTTATATACATACATATGTATATGAAATAGTAAAAAGACTATTTCGTAAACATTTGCTCATTTTTATTATAAACTCTTTAAAAGCTGCAGCATAGAAATTTTATTTTAATTTATGTAGTAATACTATTCTGCATTTTGAAAGTATTAACTTATTTCCGATTTTTTAACAATTTTTTTTTTTAATTCTTGGATCTAATAAAAATTTAAGTTCCTCCACATATTTTAATTTACACGATTTAAAAATTGATGTTTGGAAATGTATGCTTTTTTGGTAAAATTTGCTCGCACACAATACATTTTTTTTTTAACTTTTTATAATAATTTTTTTAAATTAATCAAAATTTAAATTATTCCACAATTTTTAATTTCAACGATTAAAAAATTTTAGGTTTGAATTTCTGTCATAATACTCTTCAAATATGTTTTTGAAATATTTAATTTTAAAAAGGACTAAATTTAATTTTTTTATTTTTTTTTATTTTTTTAATATTTAAAATTTCCCAAATTTATTTTTTTTCTGCTGCTGTTATTTCTGAATTACTCCTTCATCTTTGAATTACATTTTATTCAAGAACATAATCGAAAGTTTTTGTCTATTAAAGCTACATTTCTAGAGTAAATATTTTCTCAGTTCATATTGTTACATGTTTTATAAAATTTAAGTTTTTTATAAAAATAAAAAACCCTAAAACAATATTATAAAGCTAAAAAAGATAATTTGAAATAACTTGAAGTATTTTAGTTCAGTAAAATTAGAAATTTAGCACTGAATTTTTTGCATGAAGATGGCCAATATTGACAAATATGTGTTTAAACTTTGAACTTTTTAAAAGATATAGCTCAAGTTCACAGTTTTGATTTACAACTATTTAATTTTTTGTTTTAAATATTGATATATTTGCGGAAATTTTAGTGCCATTATTACGGTTTTTTGTATTTTTTTATGAACCGCTTTCAAAGTAATTTGGTTTAGGGAAGTCAGTGGCAGAAGACATCGATATTTTTCGATACATCTATGATTCGATTTGCATAGGATTTTTCAGATATTATTTCAAAACCAAATATGTTATTAGCAAAACTGTACAAAATTTCAAATTAATTACTGTAATTGAGGTAATTATGTTTCTAACGGAACATTTTGCAGCAATTTAAATTTTTTGGCTAAATTCACTTCTCTTTTTGCATAATTGAAAACCTGAAATGACAGTTCAATGTACTGTAATTTCAAAACACACTAACTAACTTAATCTCTCATTAAAATTGGAACTTTTAAATTGATGCAACCCTTCAAAAATATTAGGAGAACAAAGCTTACAAATAAAATAAAAATAATAAAAAGAGCTTTCTTAAAACTTTCACGTTTGACACTCATATTGAAATATTTCATTTAATTTAATAAAGTGGATTTTAAACAGGTGGCAACCTTCGTCAAAAATATTTCCGAAATAGACTTTTCGTAAACCTCTCCAGTTTGGCACCTACATACATGTAATTATTTTATTTAAGTTGTTAACTAAACTGCTTTTGAATTTCCAAAAGGTGGCAACCTTCGTCAAAAATATTTCCGAAATAGACCTTTCGGTAACTCTCTCTTGTTTGACACCCACATTAAAATTTTTTTCTTTCTTGTTTATTTAGTGATAGTGAATTTCGAACCAGGTGGCAGCCTTTATCAAAAATATTTCCGGAATAGACTTTTCGTAAAGCGCTCCCGTTTGACACCTGTATTAAAATATTTCATTAAACTGGTCAATAAAACTGATCTTGAATTTCCAAACAGTTGGCAACCCTGTTATAAACTGTTTCCAAAATGAAGTTTTCTCAGACGTCTCGTTGATTTGTTTCATATATAAAATATTTCTATCAACACTTTGCTTAAATTTAATTTCAACTTCAAATCAGGTGAACGCCCCCTCGTTTGATACCCAAATAAAAAATATTTCATTTAACTTATTAATTAAATTTATTTCAACATTTTTAACAGGTGGCAACTCTCTTTAAAATTATTTCGTTTTAGAATACCTTTCGTTTGACACCCACAATGTTCCAATTTATTTTTTAACCTATTAATTGATGGATTTTAGCTTGTTTAGCGGTGTAACCCTTTTAAAGAAATATTCTGTATATTAGGTCAAGTCATAACCTCAATATTTCAAGCCGTTTTAACGCGAAAGAGCAACAAACATACTCACACACTCCCTCGCAAACTTTCACATTTATTATGTTAGTAGGATGTACATATGTAAGTTGAACGTATGGGCTAATATTATGTGCTATAAATATTGTTAAAAAATATACATACATATATATTTATTTTACTCACCACTGCGCGACATGCTGGCGTCCGATAGATATCACTAGCACCAGATAGGCTTTGAAAATACTTTTTTGTGCCGTAAACGGTATCCATTTTCGTGCTCCTGACGTAGTCAGCCGTATGCATATACATATATAGTAGGTATAACTATTTACGCGATATCGCAATCGATTTTCTTTCTTTTTTAATATAGATGAAATTCACAAATTCGGTATCCACGCGCTTTTCTTATTTCTCACGCCTCTCAAATTGCACAAAAAATCTCTGCCTCCCTGCAGTGCATTAAATTTCACACAACTTTCGCAAATTTTCACATATGTATGCATATATGTATGTGCGCAGGTATGTGCATATTTAAAATATTTTTCCACCTTAATTTTCTGCTTGACACATCACATCACAAATACCAGCATATTGACCAAACGCCTGCAAGCAACATATTGCCAACAAGAGGAGCGGTTGCATGCAACTTTATTGTCATTTCAAGCGTCACTCACAATCACTCATGCAACATCAATGCTGACTGGCGTAGTGACACAGTGACTGGCGGGCGATGGTGAGAGAATGAGAGGGTGTATATTTGTGTATGAACGTCTGTGTTGTCACGTAAAAATATATTAATAGCATTAACTAATAAATGAATGAATGAATGAATGAATGAATGAGTGAAAAAAAGTCGGAAAAGTGCAGCTGCTGCTGTTGACGCTTAATAAGCGTAATGAAATTGAGTACGCAGAAGTTGCTGTCGTTTTTTTGCTGCTGCTGTTGCTGTTGGTGCTGTCACCACTACTGCTGCTGCTGCAATTATGAATAGCGACTGTTGCTGACTTGGCTAGTAAGTTGGTTGGTTGGTTGATTGGTTGGCGGGTTGCTGCCTGGCTTGTCGCTTGTTATGGTGTTGTTAAAGGCGCCGCATGCTTTTCTGTTGTCGTTCTGTTGTTATTGTTGTCGGCATTAATATTTGTGGTTATTTTTGTTATTGCTGTTGCACATACTACTATGATGGACACTGATGATGAGCGATGGCTTGCCTTTGGCTATTTTCTTTGCCACTTTGCGCTCGTCGAGTGATTATGATCTCTCTGGCTGCAGGTGTGCAAGGTATATAGTTTATTTTCTCAGATTTTCTGTAAAAAAATTAAATAAAAGTAATATTCTGTTAATTAAACTTTTACATAGTTACACGCATATATCTATAGAGAAATTTATGCATTCATAAATGTATAATGTTTTATTGAGGAAGAAAAAAGTTATATTTGGCTGTAGACTAGAGCAAAGTATTATAATATAATTAGATAGCAAAGGTAAACTTATGTTGTGCTCTGTGTACTGATAAACATCCTGGAGCTCAGGTTTCCTCAAACTTTCTTGAGCTTAATCCAAGTACATAGAAGTCCATCCTTGGGGCCGTAAAGGAAAAACTTTAAATATATCAGTGGCCTTGTATTACGAGTACTGTAGATATAATCCACATTTAAAAAAAAAACGTGTGTACCTCTAAAAGAGGTCTGCAAGATTTGTTTCATGTGAATAGAATTTTGCAAAAAAAAAAATACTTTTACTAGAGCAAGTGAACCACTGCAACTCGCGCCATCGAAGATGTACTAAAAATCATAATCATAGATTTAGCATCCAAATACTGAACTAAATAGGCAGAGAAGGCCTCAGCATTCGAATCATTAAATCATTTCTGGAATCCTGAATCCAGACTGAACTTAAAGTGATGAATTGAAGCTACTCTCGCGAAGCCTAAAGCTTTCAGACATCCAAAGTACTGCGGTTGGTTTCAGTCATACTTAGCTGACAAACTAGGTCTGAAGCTCACTGGCAGTGTGTTCACAGCGTATCGCATAGTGCATAATTTCTCTTTTGTCCGCTTTCGAGTGTCTAATAAAGAAGGCTGCCCCGTGGGTTACAGTGTCAACAATTAAAGGGGAGGTATTCAACTACCGAACAAAACTATTAGAGTTAAACATAAGAGATCTTCACACCGATCGAGTTGCCCCTGGCTTTTTTATGTATATTTTGTTTTTGTTTCGTAGGTTTCGTTAGATTTACTGCAAAAAAAACAATATATATATACGTAAAACTGTTAAAAAAAAAAACTGCCAGCTAACACAGCTCGGTGTGAATATTAGATTTACAAACACAAAATATACGTAAAACTTCCAAAAAAAGCCAACTAACGAAGCTCGGTGGGAATACCCCCTAATACTTTTAAATTTCTGGTAGTTTGATTCCCAGGCCAGAAAGTACATACAGTATGGGTCATATCTATAGCACGCCATTTCAAAGTGATATTGTGTGTCACTTATGTTTATTTATTAATTTTTAAGAATTTTCAATTAAAATATAGTTCATTCTCAGACAAACCCGATACAAACCCAAGCTTAATAATTTGTAGAAAGCTACAAAAAAGCGCAACAAATTTCCACATAAATTTTAAACTTTTTTCTCGGAAGTGTTAGAGTTTTTTTGAGTACACAGTTTTTTAGCCCGTTCAATTTTAGTCTGATAATGTGCAAATTTGAAGTGGCTACGAATTACCGTTTATTTTTTAGATTTTTTTGTCGGCACAATGGCTTCCATATAATGAATAAACTCAATTTATTTGTATATGGAAGAAATCCGCAACACCTTTGGCGAAAAAAATTCTAAAAAATCAACGGTAACTTTCACTGCATAGTGTTGGGCATAGTGGAGGCTCTTATATATATGTACAAGTAAGGCGCCTCTGCTCTGGCTTTCTTTTCCAGTAGTTTTCGTAAATACATTTTGTTGAATATATTATATTTCACTAACCAATATTGGCCTTAGATGGCCTTTGACAGATGAGCACATAGTAAATCAGTATATTTCTCAGTTCAGTTAAGGTATCGCTACATTCAAATTGTGTTTCTTGGGTTAACAGCAACGATACTCATATTACTTATAAAAGATCCATTGGGGCATTTATTTGTATATTTCTGAGGCACGCCCAGCAAAAAAGTGTACTCAATTTATGAAGGCCTTAAGAAAATTTGAAACAAAATTACATTTGTTATTTTTCAACGTATCCGCCATACTTTCCAATGCGTGTGCTGAGGCCGGGGGTCAATTTTTTTATGCCTACCTCCAATAAGTCTTCCGCCAGCTCCTTCATCCACTTCTCGATCTCCTCGTCCGTTGAAAACCTTTTCCCACCTATGTGCACCTCTTCATGGAAGTGAACAGACGATAATCTGAATGCACCAAGTTACGGTTGGTTCGAAACGTCCCATCCGAGTCGGGGAGTTGCTTTATGCCATCATTCTGGTCTCCAAGTTGAATTGGGAAAGGCACGTGCAAAAGGGCCTTTGGAAATCAATGAGGATTATCACCGAACGCCACCTATGGAAGGTACACCATAGTCATCAGACAAATTACAACAATACTATGGTGGAGGACTCTAGACAAAGGGAATAACAAGAAAATAATAAGAAGAGTGCAAAGACTCGCATGCCTTGGCCTATCGGGGGCAGTGAGTAGCACACCTCAGCAAGGGCTTAACATGGTATTTCATTTGCAACCGCTGCATATTTGCATCCATGGTTCGGCGATAAAGAGCGTGCATACAGAAATTCTGATTGAAATAAAAAAGAGCCGGCTAAATGGAATGAAAGCTGACTTGGAAGCCAGCACTGATTACATGATGCCTGTTTGGGACTACGATACGAAGCCACGTATTAGGTTTCCGATCAGAGAATAATGGAATTCCCGACAACCAGTAGCAGAGGGAGATACTGATAGTTCAAAGGTGGAATAAGGAACCAGAGCCGGTGTCCACTCGAAGGACCTGCAGATCAACCAGTTCATTCGTCTACCGAACGAATGCAGAGAGGGCGGCTAGTTTTTTACTTAGTAGTAGAGCTCCAGAAGACAAAGTCACTAGCTTTGCTGGCAGTGAAGCAGCAGGATCTAAAATTGTGAAATCTGGAATTGTATGGAAATGTTGGACCACGCTGGCGTCACTGAGCCGTATCCATACATAGCAATATTGAAGATAATAAGCCGGCTGATGATGATGATGGCCAGATGCGTCTCAGCGATGCCAATTAAAAAAGCGAATAGCACCGTACTACCACAGTTCAGTGATCACGTTAGAAAAATTGATGAATACACGGTGGCCAGGCCAAAAGACTTGTGGAACAAACGGGAATACTGTACGATTACAAGATTATTATAGCCGTTTCTTAGTAGGAAAAAGACAAGCAACATACTCAAAGAGTCCTGTAAAAGTCTGTAAGAGTCCTTACCGGCGTCACTAATGCTTCAACGGGGAGCGAATACCAACAAGTACTCTCTGCAGAAGCTGCCATGATGAGGATTAGAAAGGGTTAATAGAACACTTTCGGTGTCGATATCCAGATCCACAGACGAAAAGCCTCAAGCACTTGAGTTCACGCTACTTCAAAAGTCTGGGCGAGATAGCGGAGGTGGAACTAGAATAATGTCTTCAAGCTACTCCATTATGGGTATGTATCTCCTCCTCATTGAAATTGTGGAATATTCCACAACGCCCCCCCCTAACCTAACCCTACCTACTCGTACCGAAAATTAAGTTTTGATATGAAACGGCTTATGAGAAATTAAAAAATGGCTCCTGACAACGTTACTCCCTCTAGACGAGCGCTTACTATATGTAGGTATTTAGATATTTGTCACAACCCACTAGAACTTGAATGGAGATCTCCCTAAGTGAGGAATAAAAGAGTACTCCCCTTGACCTGATTTCGGATCAATAAGAGAGATTTGTGGACTTTTTACTTTACTCCCTTATTACTCGTTTAGGAGTCAATAGGGGCATCTCCTAAGCTAGCAATTAAAGAATGCTCCCTGAGGCATGATTTGGGAGCAATAAGCGAGATTAGTCGGTTTGGCACTCCTGTATTACTCACTTAGGAGTATAATGGGAGATCTCCCAAGTGAGCAATAAAAGTATCCTCCGGGATACATGATTTCGGAGGTATAAGCGAGATTTGTTGGTTTTGTACTCCGTTATTACTCGCTTAGGAGCAAAAATCGATGTCCCCTAAGCGAGCAATCCAGGAGTATTCTTTTTAATTGATAGGAGAGCTATACGCACCTTCTTCAACATAATTTTGTGTTTTTGGAAAATGTATGAAGAAAGCAAAACAGATAACTGATGTGTACATTCATACTTATATACATATGTATTTCTTATTGAAAAATTTAAATCAGGAAACAATGAAATTAATTGGAGAGCAAATCTTTAGAGCCGCTGGTATGTATGATAGCATTTGTTTAAACTTATAAATGATTGTATTATTTAACTCAAAATATATTTCAGATTACGGGGCCAGCAGTTAAGGCGTCTACGTTCTAGCGTTGCAATCTTGCCCCGCCCAGAAAACTTACTGGGTACAGCCGGAAATTTTTCAAGGCGTGAATAGTTTGGGCCACTCCCGGGTGAATACAAGTTAAATAACTTTTCCAGGAAATCATCCTCGCCACACTTATCTTGTGGATTGTATAAAAGTATATATGTATGTATGTATAA